TTCTTCTCTGTGGGCCTCGAGTGAGTTCCCGTAGTGTAACAGCGCAGCGCTTCTGGGTTGTACGCCACTGTAGTCACTTGGACTATTTTAACGATGTTTTTAATAACTTTTCTGGGCCGGCAAGTTTCGATCCCATAGAAGCCTATGGAGGAGTGATCCAGCTCTCAGATTTAATCAAAAATATCTTAATTTGTGTTCTGAAGATGAACGAAAGTCTTACGGGGTTGAACAACATGAGGGAGAGTCATTACTGACAGAGTTTACATTTTTGGGTGAACTATCCCTTTAAAGTGTAAAAAGATGATACATAGATAAACTTCTCTTCTGGCAAAACAGCGTCATATTTTGCAGCGCTGCTCGTTATACTGTGAGGTTTTCCATGTTGATTGTACAGTGTATATAATGGCGTTCTCTCTGTGTGTGTGTGTGTGTGTGTGTGTAGTGGGTGGAGGAAGTGATTTGAGGCTGTGGACGATTAATGGAGATTTGATCGGTCATGTTCACTGTCGAGAGATCATCTGTTCGGTGGCGTTCTCCAATCAGCCGGAGGGAGTGTCGGTGAACGTGATCGCTGGCGGGCTGGAGAACGGTGTGGTCAGGTACAACACTGACCCAAAACCCCCACACTACACACTGTTTTAGCTAGTTCGGGACTGAATGTTGTTATGCGGTAAATTAAAACAACTTTGGAAACCAGGTCGAATTTGATGAAGCATAACAACTGCACACATGCATGCAAAAGTTCACACTTCCTGTGTGATATCACTCGGACTTCCTGTGTGCATTATTATTTAATATTATGGCAACATTTTACAGTAAGGTTCATTAGTTAACATTAGTTAATGTATTACCTAGCCATGAGCAATACATTTGTTACAGTATTTGTGAATGTTAGTTAATAAAAATACAGATAAAAAAATGCATTAACTAATGTTAACAAGATTTAATAAAGTATTAGTAAATGTTGAAATTAACATTAACAGGATTAATAAATGCTGTTTAAGTGCAGTTCATTATTAATTCATGCTAACTAATGAACCTTATTTTAAAGTGTTACCGATATTATTATTATTATTGCACAGCCATATTGAATAAGTTCCATAAAAACAGCAGAATACATTGTGTTTTAAGACTCTAATCAATGCTTTTCTTTCCTCTTCTCTGTCATCATATTTAATTCTCTACTTCTTTCTGTCTGTCTTGTCCACGTTTCCGCTCAGGTTGTGGAGCACATGGGACCTGAAGCCAGTCAGAGAGATCACCTTCCTGAAATCCAACAGGCCTATCATAAGGTACACACCTGCACCTCAAATGACGTCACAGATTTGTTCTTTTATCTTGATTAGATAAGGTATATGCATCTATACACTACCAAAAGTTTGGAGCAAATAAGTTTTTTTTTTTTTAAAGGTATTTATTTGATCAAAAATACAATAAAAATTGTGAAAAATTATTACAATTTAAAATAATGGTTTTCTATGTGAATATATAGTCAAGTGTAATTTATTCCTGTGATCAAAGCTGAATTTTCAGCATCATTACTCCAGTCTTCAGTGTCACATGATCCTTCAGAAATCACTTTAATATGATGATTTGCAATTATTAATCATTATTATTATTGATGCTCAATTGTTAATTATGGTTCTTAAAAATGTTTTGGAAACATGATACATTTTTTTTTTAGGATAAGTCCCAAAGAACAGCATTTATGTAAAATAGAATCTTTTGTAACATTAAATCTCTTTTGATCCATTTAATAAGTCCTTGCTGAAAAGAAAAAAAAAACACTATAATTATTATGATTATTATTGTTATACTTAAATCGTATTTACCCCAAACTTTTGAGTGGTAGTGCATCACGTTTTTGTTTTTTGTCAACATTGATAATAATCATAAATGTTTCTTGATCATCAGATCCTCATATTAGAGTGATTTCTGAAGGATCATGTGACACTGAAGACTGGAGTAATGATGCTGAAAATTCAGCTTTGATCACAGGAATAAATTACACTTTACTATATATTCACATAGAAAACCATTATTTTAAACCGTAATAATATTTCACAATTTTTCCTGTATTTCTGATCAAATAAATGCAGCCTTGGTTTTTATTTCCAAAACCAAAAACGTTTGACTGATATTGCAAGTGCATTATTTGTCCCTAATGATGTTTCTTCTCGATTCTCTTGCAGTCTCACATTCTCGTGTGACGGACACCATCTTTACACGGCCAACAGCGAGGGAACCGTGATCGCGTGGTGCCGACGAGACCAGCAGCGCATGAAGCTGCCCATGTTTTACTCTTTCCTCAGCAGTTACGCTGCAGGCTGATCCCCGTGTTGCACAGAACGAACGCCGAGTGACCCCGCTGACCCCGAAAGAGGAGGAGCCAGAGGCACAAGCCCCGCCCACGACCATCACAGGATCCGCCCCCTGATACGCCATGGAAATGCACGGCACTTTATGCAGTGCTATAAGCAACTGTATCATAAAGAGCGTGTAAAGTGTTTCCATACATGCGTCGGGGGTCGTGAGGCAGAGCGAGCGCAGGCCTTTTCCACCGGATCGTTTCCTAATCCTCGTTTGTTTTGTGTTTGGTTTGACTGAGGATTCACGTCGTAGTATTTGTTAGTGATTGCGTGTTGTTTGATTTTTGAAAGCTGCTAGAGTCTGGTCCGTTTGAAGGCCTGTGTCTCTTCCCTTTCGTTATTATGTCCCTCGTCTTCGCTATCCTGAGAATAGAGATCCTGCTTTTGAAGCCAGACCAGACTGAGATCATCTAAACACTACCGTCTGCACTGGTAATTCTCTCCCAGACTTCAGCATGCTTGCGAAGTGACATGCAGTGGCAGAATGAATGTGTGCACGCAATGCCTTGTTAAACTTTCATTGAAATATTTATTCTCAAACAAGGATGAAAGCCACATCTAAACGTGTTTCTCGCTCTTTATTCTAATATGCACTTCAGACGATACGCTGTGAATGTCGAAGGTGGTCGTGCGTAGTCCTGAAATAATATTTATTCTGTTTTTTTATTATTACACCAACTCAACCCGAACGGCCCAGTTGCCAGTTAATAAGCGCATCTAATTCATTAAAAACATGCTTTCGTTCTGAATCTGTTCAGTTATGTTATTAATTATTGCAGGTTGTGATCAAGCATCATCTACCATTGGTGATGCAATGTAAAGTTTAATCAAATCTACCTTTAGGACCAAATCACTAATTCATAGGTGATTTTTTATTTATTTTTTTGCAATAAAAACAACCTGATTACTGTACAAAGGCAAAGCAATATCACTAAACAATTACACAATTTCATAGACTCACAGGAAACCAATGCTCTTGAAGTCTTAAATGTGGAGGAAAAACAACTGAAATTAAGTAAACGAGCGTCTGTTATCTTAATGATCCACAGCGTTCTTTGTGTTATTTTTCTTGCATTCTGTATTTTCTCTTATATTGCAACTAATTTAATTTGCTTGTCTTACATTTTTAGTGTTTACCAGAAAGGGAATGCTTTCACCTTTTTGTTTTGCATTATTTTCAGAAATATCAGACACATGTATCACTGAAGTGTGAGTCCAGAACGCCAGCACTTCAAAGAAAGGTAGTTAGAGAGAATCATCTGGTGTTTACGGAGTTATGTGCTCGTTTTATGTTTATTTGTTTTTTGTTTATGTATAAAATCTGTTTTCCATGCTTGCATTACATACATATATCTCTTAATTATTGTGCACAGTGTTGTCATGTTTGCAGTTCCCTCAGAAAGAGATTGATGTTACTGTCATTGAGTTTGTAAAGCAAGATGTGTGAATTTGTTTGACCAAACTATCACGAAAAGGCTTATTGTTATCAGTCGAATGTTGAATTAACAGTGGTTTATGTAAATTAAGATTGAAATGTTCACCGAGGCCTGGCTGGGACATTTCTAATTTTTTGTATTTATGAAATATGTAATAAAATGTCACCTATATAATATATATATATATATATATATATATATAAATATTCAAGAAATTTTGATTCTGTTTGTTGCACTTGTTTCTCATGTTCAATGTTAAAAATAAAAGTTTTGCAATAATGCCATAGAACCATTTCTGGTTCCCCAAAGAACCGTTCAGTCAACAGTTCTTACAAGAACCATTTTTAGTCTCAAGAACATTTTAATAACCTAAAGAACCTTTTGTGTATTTGAAAGGTTCAATTGATGTTAAAGATTCTACATGGAACCATAGATCCTAATATTCTATATTGCTCAGTTCTATTCTGTTGTTTTGAATTCTAAATTATTCTGTTCTACATTTACCAGTTCTAGTAAGTTCCATTATATGCTAGTTCTATTCAATTGGACTCTATTCATAAAAGTTAGCAGTTCCCAACTACATACGTGTCTATTTTATTGTAAAAAAAATAATAATAATAATTGCAAGAGATTTATAAACATTTTTTCTTTTTAAATTTTCTTTATTTAAACATTTACTTACAGAATACAAAAGAGCCAGGGGTTCAGGGACGGCCAAATATTACATATGAATTGAGAGGGAAAAAATAATATATATAAATTAAACAAGTAAATAAATGTGGAAATATTGAAATATGAATAAAAATAAATCCTCGCCACAAAACGTAAAATAATATTAAAGATTACACAAAACGTGAGCATACATTAAAAGTTTTAGTAGCCTTTTTGTTACAGGAGGTAGACAAGGATTTAATATAGACCTTAACACCTTCTTGAAAGTGAGAAAAATTGGGGGACTAATTGCGAGAAATTTTCACGCGCCCAACATCTGTGTTACGTCACAGTGCGAGTGTTTTGGAGGCGGTTACGTCATCCCGGTGACTGGGAGACCCGGTGATGTCACATTAAGCAGGGAAACCTCACGTGCCTCGGATGCGCCCTGCAGAATAATGAGCCCTAGTGATCCTCCAGCGATACTAAACATCATCTGATCTGATAACACACACACACACACAACGGTCCACCGATACTGGAGGATGCGCGCGAATGAACCGTCTGATTTCTTAAAGGCGCAGTGACACCTGCATCCTCCTCGCGCGCCGCGTTTGTGCGTCACATCGAGGTTCCCCTCCTCACATCCCATGAACCGACACCGAATCAACCAGCAGAGCAGAAACCGGGGAAATACTCGACGTTTGACGGCGTTCGGCGGATGCACGCGAGCGGACGGTGACCGTTTGTGTGTGAGGTGTGTGTTGCAGGTTTTTCCTCGTCGCGTTCGGGTGGAGTCGAGCCACATACTGAAGTCTGACCACTGACACACTCCAGGTGGGTGTTAACACGCGTTCCTGTGCCTCCCCAGGTATTTGTGCTCGTTACGTAGATTCGAATGTTCTATTGCGTAATTTTTGGAACGTTTGAGTGCAACATTTGTAACAATTCCAACGTTCCTGACGTGACCGCGGGTTTATGGGCAACGGTGTCGCTTATTATCTCATGGTCAATACGAGCGATAAAACGCGCTCGTGTTGAGGATTTGGGATGAGGGATGATGTATGTATGGATGGATACATGTTTGGTGTTTTTGGGAATGATGCTGGAATGACCAGAAGCGCGTGAGAGCGAAAGATGGACGCGCGCGAGTCTCTTGGGCGTTTGATTCCATCGGCTGGAATTCCGCCTTTATAATCGAAATGATAATGATGAAGATTCAGATGTTCAGTGATGAGCTTCACGAGCTCTGTGATAATTCACGGAATGGCCTTGAATGGATGGATGGAGGAATATCACGACCCTCGTGTGTTTTTGCTGATTCTAGATTTTGTCACATGTCGCCTACAAATAACAAGCATTAAACATGACAGCTAAATAGCTTTAATGGTTAAATTATGATTTACTGTATTGAGATGAACCCACATGTTTCAGTGCAATGGTTGTTTGTGGCCTTTATTCAGCACTGTATCATTATGAATGTATAGATGTACATGGGTTAAAAGGGCTGTTATGAAGCTCGTGTTCTGGTGAGATTCACTTGACTGCTGTGTAGAGATTTATTTGTGAAAATAATACAAATAACTCCAAAATGAACCTCTATAATCCTTAGCTGCTCCTCTGACCTGTTTTGACAGGTGTTATTGGAGCTGTTATATCACAACGTTGGGAAATGTGATTGTTTAACCCAGAAAAAAAACCATTTCACAGAATGGGAAGCCTGGAAATATCAGGGAAGCGTAAAATGACGGTGATTATTCTACTGTCTATTCTATTTCTGTCAGTGAGCTTTTTTATTTGATCAAAAATACAGTAAAAATAGTCATATTGTGAAATATTATTTCGGTTTAAAATATCTGTTTTCTATGTGAATATACAGTAAAGTGTAATTTATTCCTGTGATCAAAGCTGAATTTTCAGCATCATTACTCCAGTCTTCAGTGTCACATGATCCTTCAGAAATCATTCAAATATTATTATTTTATGCTCAAGACACATTTATGATTATTATCAATGTCAGATTTTTGTGGAAACCACAAGCTTGAATGGAATTAAAAGAATAATAAACCAACGATCAGAGAACAAGTGCTGTTCCTCATATGTTTACTGAACACAGCTCAGATTCAGTCATTCATAAATACAGTCACATTGAGACTCTACAGTTAAGCACTGTTTACATTTAAATTAAAGTCACAAAAATTGTTGTTTTATTCAAAATTATTTATCCATGCACATCATTTTGTGCCTCATAATAATCTTTCATCTTAACTTCCCCTCCCTCTTGTAACTTCTCTTCTCTGATGACGAGGGCGGGGCAACCTGTCACTCACATGAGATCCACCAATAGCAAACCACAACCATCCAATCATCCAATCAATTCCCCACGGACAAAATCAAGCCCCGCCCTACATTTGTTCTTGTTCCCGAAGCCGGTTGCATAAACTGCTAAGACAAGTTTTACAAGTAATTCATCAAACTTTTTCTTTAAAGGGGTCATATAATGCCATTTTTGTACAAGCTAATATGATTCTTTAGGGTCTAAATTAAAAGTTTGTAATATACTTTAATTACAAATTCTCATTAGTATTGTAAGAAAACACTTATTTTACCTGGTCAAAAACAGCTCTGTTTTCAGCACGCCGTTTCAGTGCATATGCCTTTAAATGATCATGAGCTTTGCTCACCCCGCCTCTCTGTTCTGTGCGTACACCGTTTGTAACACAATAACACAATAACCATAACGCATTGTTCAGTATAAACGTGGGATTATGAATTATATTGAGAACATCATACATAGAAAACATGCCGTAATGTACCCTGAGTGTAAACCTTAGACGCATTCATTGTGAAGCGAGCAAGCGATTTGCAAAGATTAATATAAATATTAATATAAAGGTTAACAAAACGTTACACTCACTTCAGTTGTTCTAGAGGTTCAGCAGGAACACGAATAGCTGGTACCGATCTTTTTTCAGGAGCAGCTTCTTAGCAAAACCAGCTTTACACTGACCCTCGTTTATAAAGCAGTCTGGTGAGAAATGATTCGGCAAACATGAGAGCATTGACGTTGCTCGTGGGGAATATTCCCTTCGAAAACAAAACTCAGCCACTGCGTCTTCAGCGGTTCGGATTCAGGAACATTAAAATGACTGTGTTCGTTATTACACCCAAGAACAGAACACCACAATCGCTCAGACGCCATTCTGCTCATAGACAGTGCTCCAGCATATCAACAATGACCGCGCCGGTCCGCGCAGACTATGATTGACAGCTCTCACGAGCGAGGGCGGGTCTGTGTTGAAACGCAGCTGTCAATCAACAATCGTGGGAGGGGCTTCCGAGCGTGTGACGTCACACGGTCGAACGGCTCGATTTGAGGCAGGGGAAAACATATAAGGAGATTAAAACAAAAACACTGGATGGATTTTTATCATTATATGATGGTTGTGTACAGACACTGCCAACACACATTTCAGTACAATCAACTTGAAAAAGTGCATGTACCATTATATGACCCCTTTAAGACTGTCCATAACTGTTTTAAGTTACATAAAAACGTTGTCAACTTGACTAACCGCTAGATGGTCATACTAGTACTTAAGACATAGTCTTAAAGGGTTAGTTCACCCCAAAATGATTTATTCACCCTCAAGCCATTCTAGGTGTTTATATCTTTCTTCTTTCAGCCAAATGCAATCAGAGTTATATTCAAACAAATATCCTTGCTCTTCCCAGCTTTATAATGGGGGTAAATAGATTTTGAATACCAATTTTGGTAGTCAGGTCACTCGTCATGCGTGGGGTCGGAGGTCACTCGTCATGCGTGGGGTCGGAGGTCGTCATGCGTGGGGTCGGAGGAGGTCACTCGTCATGCGTGGGGTCGGAGGTCACTCGTCATGCGTGGGGTCGGAGGTCGTCATGCGTGGGGTCGGAGGAGGTCACTCGTCATGCGTGGGGTCGGAGGTCACTCGTCATGCGTGGGGTCGGAGGTCACTCGTCATGCGTGGGGTCGGAGGTCACTCGTCATGCGTGGGGTCGGATGTCACTTGTCATGCGTGGGGTCGGAGGTCACTCGTCATGCGTGGGGTCGGAGGTCAATCGACACGATGGCTGGACCGCGTTTACATTACACTGAGATCCGATCACAATGTCTCCGGACCGGGACACGCCGATCGGATCACATTCCCATCAGAAGTGCGTTTACACTCGTCTTTTCAATGCGTATGTGGACAGCATCCGGATACAGGTCACATGCTAATGCCAAGTGTAAACGCAGCCTTTTATAATGGATGTGGATGTGCTTTTATGGGCTTCAAAATCTTGTACCATTCACTCCCATTATAAAGCTGGGAAGAGCCAGGATATTTTGAATATAACTCTGATTGTGTTTGGCTGAAAGAAGAAAGTCTTATACACCTAGGATGGCTTGAGGATGAGTAAATTATGGGTGAACTATCATAACTTAAACACAATGGCTTTGTTAATGCCGTTACGTCACAATAGGGAAGACGGTCCTTCTTTTTCATTCATGCACAATCCCGTATTCCCGTTCTGTTGATTAATGAGGGGGTAAATTTGAATGATAAATCTGTGACTGTCATGTGATCTGTGTGCAGGACTCAATCATGAAGGACGGCATGGCCAATAACAGCACCGCCAGCATCTCTCAGGCCCGGAAAGCCGTGGAGCAGCTGAAGATGGAGGCCTGCATGGACAGGATAAAGGTCTTTCTTTTAAACTACACTGACCTCCGTTGAACATGTTCACGGTTTTATAGCTTTACGAATGATTGAAGGACTTGGTTTGTAAGATGGACCCTGGAAAACTGGGGAAAATACAACTAAAGAATCTTTTATAGAGTTGTCATGTTGTACAGAACGCTTTGGGATTTTTATAAGCTGAATATTATTGAATGTTTGATTCATTTATGTCTTGAAGCTGGTTTGTAATAAACACAAACAGATTGTGAACCATTAATCAGTGAAAAAAAGCACAACTTTCTTTTTAATTGACGTTATTGAAATATACCGTTTCAAATGAAAATACGTCAAATTAAAGGGAAAAAAAAGTAAAAACTCTCAAAAAATATTTAGGTCTAAACTAAAGATTTATGCATTTAAATTGCATATAAAATTTCCATGCATTCGGATTACAGTTTCAACATAAACTAATAAACTTAACGTGATTTGTATTTTTCAGTCATAAAGAAATGAAACAGGAAAGATTTCTTCACTTGATTTTATTTTAAAATCATATATTTTCACTGTGCATCTATTTCAGATTGCTTAGAATCCGCATAAAATAATTACATTTATTCAGTTAAACAGTATGAATGAACATGGTTAAAATATGGCGTGCTGTGGATCAAGCAATATTAAATTAGTTAAAACGTGTGAGACTGAAACAAATCAGATTGACTGATATAAATATATAAACGTGGTTATTGTGTGTTTTAAACGCATACAGGTTTCATTTCTGTATGACTGACAAATGTTCATCATGGAAATTTTATATGCACCTCAAATACCATCGAAATATATTTTGAGTGCACTTAATGTTTCATGTTGACTGTTAAGTGGCCAGAAACAGTAATTGTTTTCAACAGATAGTCCCGCCCCCAAACTCATGTGATTGGTTGAGTCAGAAGTTGACGTGTCAGACAAACCCATTTAGTGTCTCTTCATCATCCGCCTAATATTAATCATATTAATATATATCATATTAGTCATATTAACAGTGCAGTTTTTTTTTAATGAAGATAGAACAAGTAACAAACATAGCATAGCATACAGTACGTAACAAAGTGCGACATTAAATAGTAACAGGGATCAGAAAATTACATAATAATATTTTAAACATGTTTTATAGTTTCAGAGAAGACATAAAACAAACAAATTCCACTGTAAACACCGATAAGATTGGGGATAAGTTTACATACTTTTGTTTATGCATATACAATTTTGCCGGCAGTAGAAATAAAGTAATGTATTAAAGATGTATTTAAAATTGCTTTCATAATACACAATAATATCCTTTAATGTAATATAGTATTTAATCTTTACTAAATTAAAGATAAATCCTGCCAATTCCATCCAGAAACTTTGGATAATTTTACAATTATTGAACAAATGCGTCAACAACTCTTTCTCACTTTTACAAAAAGAGCATAAATCATCGATATCAGAGTATTACAGTGCAGATATGTACTGTAAATCATGACGTCTGCAGTGAAATCTCTTGGTTATCAGCACTAATGTGCCCAGAAGACTCAGTAAATGCTTTAAAGAAGCGTAATGCGTGTGTTAGCTGTAGTTGCGTGTAAACCCGAGGGTGTTTAGAGGAGGACGGGCTCAGCTGTGAGGAGAGAGATGGATGGGTCAATCCTGCTGAGGTTTCTCGTCTCTTCGTTCTGCACATGGCAGATGTTTTCTGACTGGCATCAGATATGACCTCGGTCTTATTTCTGCCCTTTTAACCACTGGGATATATTTTGGGAAGCGATCTCTAGGTGGACGGATTCTTTATTGCTGCGTTTCAATATTTAAGTCAACACTGACAATGACATTTACAACCTCTATTTACTTCTGATGTATTACATATCATACCATTTCAGTATATTTTTATTTTATTTACATGTATAGATGGATGGATGGATGGATATTAGATAGATAAATAGATAGATGGATGGATAGATAGATGGATATTAGATGGATAGATGGATGGATGGATGGATGGATATATACTGTAGATAGATAGATAAATAGATAGATAGATGGATGGATATTTGGGTGGATAGATAGATAGATAGATAGATAGATAGATAGATAGATAGATAGATAGATAGATAGATAGATAGATAGATAGATAGATAGATAGATAGATAGATAGATGGATGGATGGATGGATGGATGGATGGATGGATGGATAGATAGATAAATAGATGGATGGATAGATAGATAGATGATATTTGGATAGATAGATAAATAGATGGATAGATAGATATTTGGGTGGATGGATAGATATGAATAATTCATCTGTGCGTTTTTATATAAATATATATAATTTTAAGAATAACATGCACTGATGAATCATGCACACCAGACAGTGAATGATGGAAGTAAACAGAGTCTGTTCTGATGTCATGTGACTGTGAGTTAGTATAAGTCATGATTGTGTGTGTGTGTGTGTGTGTGTGTGTGTGTGTGTGTGTGTGTGTGTGTGTGTGTGTGTGTGTGTGTGTGTGTGTGTGTGTGTGTGAATTGTCTTATTCTTTCTGTCCACTTTCTCATGTCATAAACTAGCATTCCCAGATTCCCGAAGTGATCAATAGAAAGCTTCTTCTCATGGAGTCCTGTGAGGCGTCTCATGCGCTCGTCTCGGGGCGTCCCGTTCGAGTCTCACACACACACACACACACACACACACACACACACACACACACACACACACACACCTCGTTAACAGCAGAAACACTCACTCTCACACACACACACACACACACACACACACACACACACACACACACACAGCTCGTTAACAGCAGAAACACTCACTCACACACACACACACACACACATACACACACACACACACACACAGCTCGTTAACAGCAGAAACACTCACTCACACACACACACACACACACACACACACACACACACACACACACACACACACACACACACAGCTCGTTAACAGCAGAAACACTCACTCTCACACACACACACACACACACACACACACACACACACACACACAGCTCGTTAACAGCAGAAACACTCACTCACACACACACACACACACACACACACACACACACACACACACACACACACACACACACACACACACACACACACAGCTCGTTAACAGCAGAAACACTCACTCACACACACATACACACACACACACACACACACACACACACACACACACACACACACACACACACACACACACACAGCTCGTTAACAGCAGAAACACTCACTCACACACACACACTCACACACACACACACACACACACACACACACACACACACACACACACACACACACACACACACACACACAGCTCGTTAACAGCAGAAACACTCACTCACACACACACACACACACACACACACACACACACACACACACACACACAGCTCGTTAACAGCAGAAACACTCACTCACACACACACACACACACACAGCTCGTTAACAGCAGAAACACGTCACGTCTTCATTCAGTCCGTCATGTTGAGTTTCAGGGAAATTAACTAAAGTTGTATCTATGGGTGTAACGATTCCCTCATATCACGATACTGAACTCACGAGACCATAGTATTGCGATACTCCAAGACATGTTAAAAGGTGAACAAAAAATGCACTGTTGATTAAAATGCTAAATTTAGTTTTACATTGTGTGTGTAAATGAATAGACTTGGACTTGGTGCTGAAACCCAAAGCACAGGACAATAGAGACACCAGAATAACAATATTCATGATTCTGAAGCTGAAAATACAGATGAATATGCTTGCGCTCTTTCTCTAGATATATTTAAAATAATATCGGCCCCTTTTTACTGGTAACATCAGACATTTGGCATTATCAGGACCCACAAATATCCCCCATTTCATTATTATACATTATATTCAACATTATATAGTAGTTTAATGTTTAATTGTTTTGGGTGAATTATCCACAATACATTGTTGCATTTTTGTATTGCGATATATTGTGACACCCCTAGTCGTTTGATTTAACTAGATCAGCAATAGGACTAGTGGAGTAATGATGCTGAAAATTCAGCTTTGATCACAGGAATAAATTACACTTTAAAGTATAGTGCAATAGAAAAGAAGTAGTTTGTCATTATGAGTGTTTTTACTGTAGTGTTGGTGAAATACATGCAGAAGAACGAGAGCGAGTGGCGGCCGGTTCGTCTCTTTAATGAATTCCTCAATCACACAGAGGAATGTGTTCAGTGTTAATTACTGTGTCTCTTCATCAGCGGCTCATGCTGTAATTACACACACTCCACTGTCAAACCCAGAGCGGCCCGGCTCACACTCCTCCTGTCCACACACACTCTTACACACAGTGACACTTCTTCACTTGTAACCACCAGTCCAAAGTTTCGATTCGAACAAAGATGTTTTTAATGTATTGAAAGAAGTCACCAATGCTGCATTTATTTGATCAAAAATACGGAAGAAATTGTAAAATATTAATATAATTTAATTTAAAATATCTGTTTTCTATGTGAATATATAGTAGTGTAATGTATTCCTGTGATCAAAGCTGAATTTTCAGCATCATTACTCCAGTCTTCAGTGTCACATGATCCTTCAGAAATCACTATAATATGAGGATTTGATGCTCAAGAAACAGTTATGATTATTATCAGTGTTGAAAAATTGTGCTGCTTCAAAAAAAAAAATCAATTTTTTAATAATAACACTTATTATTATTTATATTAAATCCATTATAATAATAAATGTTATAAATATTATTCTCACCAATAATAATAATTATAATATATATTACATTATTATTATTATTATTATTATTGAAGCTTTATGACAATATTAGAAACATTATAAATCCTCATCCTCATTATTAATATTAAGTATATTATAATAATAAATATTATACAGTTTCATATTTTTTTGGAAATGGTGATACATTTAGTAAGTTAAAAAGTACAGAATTGATTTGAAATAAAATCTTTTGTAACATTATAAATGACTTTACTGTCTTTTACTGTGTTTTTGATCAAATAAACGCAGCCTTGGTGAGCAGAAGAGACTTCGTTCAAAAACATTAAAAAAAATGTATTCTAACATTTTGACCCGTTGTGTATATTAGGGATTTATTTTCATTTGACATTTTTATGATTTAATTAATTATCTTTTCATCAACTGGCAAACCTCCTGAGTTTAGGAGAATCTGCCTTATATAATAGCACCGTGTTATTTCGACTTTTCTGCTCTTTGATATCAGTTTTCCACTGCACTCCAGGAGCGAGAAGAAGGGAAATGTAGTTTGTTTGTTGAGTGTGATGTGTGTTTGTTGCACCATCTGGCTGTGAGCGTCACACACACCTCTGAAACACCCCACTTCCCCTCCGACAGCTGCGTCTCTCATCATCATCATCATCTTCTTCATCATCATCTTCTTCATCATCATCATCCGCTCTCACATCAATCCGGCTCTGCTGATAAACAACACATTTCTGTCACCGGATGCGGTTTGGGGTTTTCGCCACTGTCACCTTTGGCTTGTTTAGCTGGGGTTTAAAAGACACTTTATGATTTGGATGAACTGAAACTATTTACATTTAATCATTTAGCAGACGCTTTTATCCAAAGAAACTTACACATGAGAACAATAGAAGCAGTTCAACTAACAGTAGGACAACAATATGTAGTGCTATGATCCTTCCCAGTTTAGTCTAACTAAAGTAAGTAATAAAAATAGAATAGAATTGAAGAGAAAGTGTTAGTATTAATGGATCAAACTATCAATTGAGAACAAAACTGAATTGAACTGTTTGATGACACTATTGTCTTCTCAGTATAGCTAAATCGACTTTGTTTCATAATTGATTGACTTTGCAACATCGACACAGTTATCTCTAGAACTAGTTTCATAATTTATGAACTTTACAGTAATTGAACTGAACTGAATCAATATTGCAACGACTCGGTGAATAATGACATTGTCATCTGTAGAACTAGTTTCATAATTTATGAACTTTACAGTTATTGAACTGAACTGAATCAACACTGAACTGACTCGAGCTGAATTATGACACTATTGTCTTTTCGAGCTGCTGTAACGTTACAACAGAATTCAAATTAGTCTTATATTTGATGACGTTTGCATTATTGATGCAGTTATTTTCCTGTTTATTACTGTGAAGCTGCTTTAAAACAGTCTGTATTGTAGAAAGCGCTACTTGACTTGACAAAATGAGTTATTAATAAAAATGTGTACGTTACCTTTTCAATTCCAGGTTTGTTGACCATAGTTTCATTTCACTCAGATAAGTTCAGTGTTTTTACAAGATTTCAAATGAACCGCCCTTCAAAGAGCCAAAAGAACCATAAACCAGTCTACCGTGGATACTTACTTTATTATAGTGAAATACCTGTAAAACATTACTGATACATGTTGTATTACTGATAGAGTAATGTATGCAGAGCTAAAAATCATTTACCTTCATATTTCAGCCATCGTATAATGTGTATTTTCTGCTGGTTAGAATCGCGCATAAACCTCTCGTTTGAATCGGTTCTTTTTAACGGTCAAACGGGTGGTCTGAAATGATTCATGATTCAGACTGATTCATTCGGACGGTTCACGCACGCACTGAATCGTTTTCAGGGGTTTCTCACACGTCACACCTCAAACAAAAAACAAACAAAAAATGCCGGAAAGTAAACAAAACTTGCAAGTAATGTGAGTAATGATCATGTTACACAAAATATATCTTAAGTGTGTAAATATTAATACAAATATTTTTTTTAGTGAACAAAACACGCGAAGAAATCGCGATGCAAGTATTCCTGAACACTTGAAATAATTGAGTTTTGGTCAACAACAAATTATGCACTTTAATTAATCTGTTTAAGTCGATTTTTAGGTCGAGCTGGTTGCGTTTTTGTGTATTAAAAAATATCCCATAGCGCTACCTAGCGTTCAACTAGTAGCGGTATTACCAGTAAATCAAATGGGGAAAAAAAACATATTTAATAACTTTTCTCAATTATTTGTTTATATCAATGGGAAGGATGGACATTTCAGAATGCTGTTTTTTTTTTTAAATCAAACATTGTTGAATAATATGAATAATGAATAAATTAACATGACGAATGAAGAAATTAATAGTTTTATGAGATTTTTTGAGATCAGAAAGAGCCCATTTGTTTTATTCTACAGAGGGATCTAGAAACAGCAGTGAACATTATGGACTGTGATAAATGTCATGTTTTGGCATGTTTATGCAGCGTGACATTTGCAGACTAAAATCGTCCTCTTTTCAAACTAGTTTTTTGGTCTGTGCCGAGACGGTCCTGTTCGCTCTTCTGTAACGCTGATCGAGGCTTCGTGGGGTTTATTAGACAGGTCAACACATATTCATATTCATAAACATATTCATATTCATGTGTGTCCTGGTGATATCAGAGCAATGTAATATGATGTGGGGAAAAACATAATAATAATAACAACAACAGCAACAACAAACATTATTATTATTATTAATAATATATCAATAAATATTTAAACAATTATGTATAATGTGTATTATTATGATGTATTTACTAACATTAATAATAATAAAATAACTATGATGTTGATTCTTCTTCTTGATGGTTGTTGTTATTATTTATTTGTTTATAATATTTATTATCATGATGGATTTAATAATATTAATTACTTTTTAATACTAAATATTAAGTAACATGTATCATATTTATTATTATAATTGACTATAGATGATATTTTTTCTTATTATAATGGATTTAATAATAAGAAAATAACTATGATGGCAATTCCTTTTGATGGTTGTTTGAAATACTTGTTAGCATAATGGCTTTAATAATAATACTTGTTGCTATTATTATTTATATCACCAAATATTAATAAACAAGTATACTACTTATTATTATACTATACTTAATAATAATAATGATGATGATGATTTATAATGTTTATAATATTGTTTTAAAGGCTTCAATAATAATAATAATAATAATAATAAATATGTATTATATATTATAATGGGTTTAATAATAATACTAATAATTATTATTATTGGTGAGAATATAAATATGTAAAACATTTATTATTATAATTGATTTAATAATAATAATAATTACCGGTATTATTAAAAATGGGGGAGAAATCGAAGTAACTTTCTATTCATCAAAGATCTCGAAAAATAAAATGCATCACCATTTCCACAAAATATGAAACGGTATAATATTTATTATTATAATAATGAGGATGAGGATTTATAATGTTTATAATATTGTCATAAAGCTTCAATAA